AGGAAGCAAGTAAAGGAGAGGAAGAAGGAGGGCGAGAGAGCGATGGAGAAGAGGAAAAGGGAGAAAAAGAAGGTCGTAGGGAGGAAGAGAAAGAGGGAAAGAAGAACGAGGGAAGAAGAGAAGGAGAGAATTAGGAAAAGATGGAGGAAACAAAAAGAAGGGGATGGATGAATGAAGGCAGGAAGTGAAAGAACGCAAAGGAAAGGAAAGAAGAAAAAGAAGTAGAAGAGAGAATAGGAGGAGAAGGATGATGATAATGATGATGTTGACAAGGAGGAGGAGGAGGAGGAGAAAAAAAAAAAAAACACGAAAGCAACGGAGAAAAAAATAAGAAAGAGAAAGAGATGGGGAGAAAAAACAAGAAAAGTGAAGCGAACAAAGAAGACAAAAGAGAAGAATTAAGCGAGAGGAAACGAAGAAAAGATCGAAAGAAAGAAAGAAAGAAAGAAAGAAAAAAAAACGAACGAAGCAAGAAAATAATAAAATAAACAAATATATAGACAGAAAATAATAATAAATAAATAAATAAATAAAAGAGAAGAGCAAGGAAACAGTGAATAACTAAATAAATGAACAAATAAGTAAACAGATAAATCAGAAGCGTATCCTCGCGAAGAATAATAAACCAGAATTTAAACCGGCGAGAAATGGAATAAGTGGAGGAGGAAGAGGAAGAATAAAGAAGAATAAAAGAATAGTATAAAAAAAGAGAATAAAGATGCAGAGGAAGAGGGCGATTACACGCAAGCAGCCAAAGAGAGGGGGGGGGAGTGGGGCGGGGGGAGGTGGTAGGGGGAGGAAGAGGAGGAGGAGGAGGAGGAGGAGGAGGAGGAGGAGGAGGAGGAGGAGGAGGAGGAGGAGGAGGAGGAGGAGGAGGAGGAGGAGGGGGGGGGGAGGAAGGCGGGAAAGGAGACAGAATGAGGGAGGGGGGGAGGAGGGCGGAGAGGGAGAAGGGAGAGGGAGGGAGCAAGAGGGAGAGGGGGAGGGAGGGAGCAAGAGGGAGAGGGCGTGGGGAGGGAGGGGGAGGGAGGGGAAGGGGGAAGGGGGAAAGAAGGGTAGGAGGATTATACGTAATAATGGGAGATTGATGCTCCATTTTCAACTACGCTTGCAATTGCTACCGATCCTGCTTGTCTGAGCGTTACCTCTTCTCACCCCCCCCTCCCTCCCCCCCACCTCCCTCCCCCCCACCTCCCTCCCCCCTTCTCCTCCCGTCCCCTCTTTTTAGATGATTTGCCTCATATTTCCGTTCGTTCTTTTCTTTTTATTTGCTTCTTTTTTTTTGCATTCTTTTGTTTATTTATCTATCTATTTTTATATTATTTTTATAAACAGAAAGAAAAGAAGGGAGAACTACACGGAGGGAGGAATAGAGAGAAAAGGGAAAGGAGAGAGAGAGAGAGAGAGAGAGAGAGAGAGAGAGAGAGAGAGAGAGAGAGAGAGAGAGAGAGAGAGAGAGAGAGAGAGAGAGAGAGAGAGAGAGAGAGAGAGCAAAATCTCGGAAAAGAAGAATATATATTTTGTCTGGACACAGCTCATTCACCTGCCCCCCCCCCCTCAGCTCACCCCTTTTCTCCTTCGATACAGACAGAGGAGAACAACGGGGGGGGGGATAAAAAGGAAGAGGAGGAGGAGAAGGAGGAGATGGAGGAGGAGGAGGAGGAGGACGGGAGGGAGGAGGAGGAGGAGATGGAGGAGGAGGAGGAGGAGGGGAGGTTGGAGGGAAAAGAGATGGGAAGGAATGGGAGATGTTGAGGAAAACACACACACACACACAAACAAGCAAACAAACACATACAAATACAAATACACATACAAACACAGACACACACACAAACACAAACGACACACACACACACAAACAAACACACACTCTAACACACACACGCACACACACATCCAAACACACACACGCACACACACACATCCAAACACACACACACACAACCCTCTCATTCTTCCTCATTCTTCCCAACAAGAAAAAGATCCCAAAGACATCTAATTTACAAGACGTAATTCCGCTCCCGTTTTGGCGTCTCCGAATCCCTAGACGCTGACTTTTAATATCTCGTCATCCCTTCGAGACGCGACAAAGGCTAATACGTTAAGATTCTTTCTTTTTTTTTATATATTAACATACTTCTCGAAATTTTTAATAACGATATTTTTTAGCCGACTCAGTGTAATCAGTTCAACAGCTGAGGAAATAATAATATCATTTTTTTTCCTTTTTTTTTACTGATTATTTTCACGAATTGGAAATATCAAGTTCGTTCGGTAAATATTTCAAGTTATGATTTATTGAACGAGTTTCAGTCGTGCAAACACGCTCTGGAAAAAAAGGTGTAAACACAACCGGAACACCGAAGGGTATATAATGACTTGTTTTTTTTTCGAATATTTTTTTAAATTTGGTGATTTCTTTTTAATGTTCAAAATCGTGTGTTTCTAAATCCAACGATTATAACACTTAATTAGGATTGCTCCACTATATCTCTCTCTGTCTATTTCATTCTTTTTACCTACCAACCTATTTCCCTATGTATCTATCTATTTATCTATCTGTGTATCTATCTATCTCCCTACATACTCAGCATCCTACGTTCTTACCTGCCTACCTATTTATCTACCTTCCTACTTATCTATCTATCTATCTACCTTCCTACTTATCTATCTATCTATCCACCTACCTACCTTTCTGTCTACCAACCTATCCACCCGCCTACCAACCTATTTATCGATCTATCTGCCTACCTATCTATCTGCCAATCTCTCGTACCCGAAACCCAACGTAGGGGCACCGAAGCGAAGCAAAACAAACACACAAACAAACACACACACACACACACACACACACACACACACACACACACACACACACACACACACACACACACACACACACACACACACACACACACACACCAAGACACAACATGCTTACACACACGCTCTCTCTTTCAACCTGGCCGGAGTGCAGACACAACTGGCCTGATATATTGCCATTTTGACGTCTTTCACTGACACTGCATTCCGTTTTTTCTTCCCCTTTCTTCTCCTCCTCTTTTTTGTTGTTGTTAATTTCTCCCTCTTCCCGTCTTCTTAACTTCTTTGCCTTTCTGTTTTTCCCTTTATTTTTTGTTTTTTCTCGTTCTCCTTCTCCTCTTTTTTCTTCTCATGTTTCTGTTTTCCTATCTGTCTTACTTTTCTTTCCTTCTTCTCCTTCTCCTACTGTTCTTCTTTTCTCTTTTTTCCTCCCCCTTTCTGTTCCTTCTTCTTCTCTTTCTTACTTTCTTTTCTTTCTCCTAATCTTTAGTCTTTCTTCTTCCTCCTCCTTCTCAAAAATGGTAATAATAATATCAGGATCATAACGATTATACTAACAATAAAAACTAAAACATCAACGATAAAGCAAACAAGCAGCTTGATCAGTAACCTCGCCAACAATGCTGAGGATGGTACTCACCCTCAAGACGCCCCCCCCCCCCCCCCGCCCGCCCGAGGCCCGCCCACCAGTGCTCGCCCGCCCCCGCCCGCCCCACCCGCCCCGCCCGCCCCGCCGCAGCCTCCTGTTCGCCCGAGGTCACTCAACCTCGCGGGCGGGCCGATGCACTCACGAACGAGGGATAAAAACGGTCCCGTAAGCGCCGGGGATTCGGGTTTTGCGCCGCTGATGGATACAGGAAGTCGCCACTCTAGCGCCGCCGCCTGGCCGCTCCCGCGCTCCGGCACCGTAATACCTGTGATTGTTTCGCCTCCATCACGTGTGGGCGCTTCCGCCGCGCGGAGGAGCGGCCGCGGCGACGGCGGCGGAGGGAGCGCGGGCGAGCGCCGCTCCCGCCCGTCGCCGGCCCTCTAATTGGCGCCCATAAGTCATCCTCCGAAGTGGCCGTCCGTCCAGCGCGATAAGATTGGCTCTTCCAGCAGCTAATGATATCCTCTCGCGCGCTCCTCCAAGTGCAAGCGGGAGCCAATTGCGGCGCGCGGAGGCTGCCGCAAAAACTCGCCGCAGCCAATGGCATCTCAGCGCCAGGCTGCATGTACGGCCGGTCCCGCCGCGGCCGCCAGTCGCTGTGCCTGCGCCGGATGCTGGATGCCAGTGCGGAAAAGAGGCCTGGCCGGCATTGGCGACGCTGGCGAACGGGGAAAATGGCGGCAGAAGCATTGACGCAATGACACTCAATCGCGTCCGCAAAACCGGGGAGAGCAGCGGGCATCGCCGATGGCTGCGCGACGCCTCAGTCGCTCCCGCCGGCCAATTACGAGGCCCGGTGATTAAAGCACGTACAGTAGCTCTGCCACTCGCCCGATGATATTTGAAATAACAGCTATAGGTGATAATTACCTTGCCATTAGCCCCAAATGATAGCCTTGAATTCTAGTTATATTTACAGGCGGCAGCCACTGATCGCTGGGCGTCGACCTCGCCTCAGAAACCTAATCATGGCTCGCGGGGACTTTCAGAGGCGATTTAGACACGATCATGATAACGGAGATAAAGACAGGTCAAATCTGACTTATTTGCCAGCGCTGCCGGTTGCTCTCTGGCCGGGACGCTCCTCCCGGCCGCCGTTCTGCTCCAGCGACCGGCTTCATTAGGACCATAAAACTAATCGATGTCTCAAAAAAGAAGAAAAATGAACGACAAAAGTAAACAAATGATTAAAGACATAATGTAGTAAAGCCAAAAATAAGATATGACTCGATTAAAAAAGAAAATAAGAAAGAGGGAAAAAGTATAAACCCCCAAAACACACACACGAAGGAGCGCCACAAGGATGCAAAACGGCCCCTCTTCCCGAACACACCCTTTCCTTTTCTTCCCTCCTCTCCCCCCCCCCTCTCTTCCCCCGTTTATTTCCCTCGTCTTCTTCTTCTTCCTTTCGCATCTTAAAGGGTTGTTTATTCCCGGACGAAAATAAAGATCTGTGTCCTTCTCCCGAGTCACTGATCAATGGCGGCCATCTACAGGAACATGACAGCCTTACGTGACGCCCATAATACCTCATGGGGGGGGGGGGAGGTAGGAGGGGGGAGGGAGGTGGGAGGGGGAGGGTGGAGGAAAGCGGAGGAGGGTGGAGGAAAGCGGAGGAGGGTGGAGGGGAGGAAGGTGAGAGGGGGAGGGAGGTGGGAGGAGAGAGGTGGGAGGGGGAGGAATGTGGAGGGGGAGGGTGGAGGGGGTGGCGGAGAAAGATAGATGGAGGATGAGAGGGGAGGAGGGCGGTTGGAGGACGGGGGGGGGGGGGGGTAAGGGAATGAGAGAGGCTCCAGTCCTTCCGACAAAGTGCGCTACTGTGACGCTCCTCTCCCCTTTTCCTTCCTTCCTCTCTCCTTCACACCCTTCTTTACCCCCCCCCCCCCCCCACCCCAACCCCCGTCATGCCTCCGACGACGGAACAAACCACCTGTTGAGTGCGCTGCTGTGACGTCACCCACGTCTTCCTCGTGATTTTCTTGTTTCGTTTTTCTCTGTCGTTTCCTCTCTCTCTCTCTCTCTCTCTCTCTCTCTCTCTCTCTCTCTCTCTCTCTCTCTCTCTCTCTCTCTCTCTCTCTCTCTCTCTCTCTCTTCTCTTTTTTCTTGGGTTGTCTGTTTGGTTAGTTTGTTTGTTTCTGTCTGTTTCAGATTTTCTCATTTTTATAGCTATCATCCCTTTGTTACTCTTTCTGTCCCTCCCTTCCTTTATTTCTCCTCATCCTACCTCCTCTTTCGGTCCCTCCCTCTTTCCCTCTTTCTTCATCCCTCCGTCCCTTCCTCTTGCTTTTCTCTTTTCACCCCCTTCTTTACTTCCCACCCTTCCTTACTCCTTCTAAATTTCCTCTCCCCTCCTTTCCTCTCTCTCTCCTACCCTCTGCCTCTCTCTCTCTCCCTCCTTCCTTCCCCCCTCCCTCTCACGGTCTCCCTCCCTTCTCCGTCCCCTCCTCCCTCCCTCCCTCTCACGCTCTCCCTCCCTTCTCCGTCCCCTCCTCCCTCCCTCCCTCTCCCTCTCTTCCATTTCACGGTGCAACGGCCTTGCAACCATTAAGTTCGACCGCCTTCACGTCACGAACGCCGCGAGTGGGAGCCAAACGCGATACTTGAATCCGGACGAATCCGCAAGAATCCGCACGAATCCGTTTACAAGAACCGGAGGATGTAATGAAACCGCACCTGGCTAATCAAGGCCGCTTTGCAATCTCACGTCCGAAAAGAAAAATCGATCATGTCGTAAATATTCAACTTCCTCGATGGTGTTAAAAATTGGGATGAGGAAAGAGGAAAGAAAATTTTGAAAACAGGAAGGAAATTTTGTTAAAACACGAGAGGGATGAATAAAGGGGCAAAGGAAATTAGATAAACGTATTTATTTATTGAGATAAGAGATATCGAGAGAGGAAAAAAACAAGGGAAATATAAGAAACACAGAATTGATAAAATAAAAACGACAACGAGAAGATTAGAAAAAAAAGAAAATCCATAAATGAAGTAAAGAAACAAGAAATAAATAACAAAACAAACAAAAAATAAAGTGAAAGAGAAAACTCAAGAGAAAAATTAAATAGACAAGGAAAGAAATAAAGAGAAAGAGAAAGAGAAAGAGAGAGAAATATAATGAAAGAGAGAGAGAGAGAGAGAGAGAGAGAAAGAGAGAGAGAGAGAGAGAGAGAGAGAGAGAGAGAGAGAGAGAGAAGAGAGAGAGAGAGAGAGAGAGAGAGAGAGAGAGAGAGAGAGAGAGACGACGACGCTTCTAAACGGCGCTCCTTCGCAACTCAAGGGCGGTCGAGTGTCCCGTGTTTCCCCAGCACACCATCATCCTTTCCCCTAAAGTCCCCCGTCCCCCCCCCCCCATCCTCAACACCCCCCTCCCCCTTCCACGCCACGCAACTCCCCCTCCTCTAAAACACTCCCCCCCCAACTCATCCTATCTTTCTACCCCCTCCCCCCTCCCCCCCCGCGCCTTTCCCATCGTAACCTTGCTTTCTCAATAAAATGAAACGCCTTTTCCTTTTCCGCCTTCCCCCCCCCCCCCTTCCTCCTCCCTCCTTTTCACCTTCTCTTTCACTCCCTTTGCTATTTGTAATTTCCCCCCTCCCCCTTGTCCTCCTCCCCCTTCCCCCTCCCCTCCCCCTCCTCCTCTCTCCCTTCCCTCTCCCCCACATCCTCCTCCCTTCCCCCTCCCCCTCCTCCTCCTCCCTTCCCCTTCCCCCTCCCCCACATCCTCCTCCCTTCCCCCTCCCCCTCCTCCTCCTCCTCCTCCCTTCCTCCTCCCTTCCCCCTTCCCCTCCTCCTCCTCCTCCTCCCTTCCCCCTCCCCCTCCTCCTCTCTCCCTTCCCTCTCCCCCATATCCTCCTCCCTTCCAGCCTCCCCCCATCCCCCCCTTCCCCATATCATCCTCCTCTACCCCCTCCCCCCAAGAAATTACAATAACAAGTCATCTCCAAAGCCTTTCCACGATTCCGAGAAGTCGAGGGGCGGCGACGGTGGGGAGGGAGGAGGGGGAGGGAGGGGAGAGGGGAGGGGACTGAAGGGGGAAGGGAGAGAGGAGGGGGGAGGGGACTGAAGGGGGAAGGGAGAGAGGAGGGGGAGGGGGAGGGGGAGGGGGAGGGGGAGGAGGAGGAGGAGGCGGAGGAGGAGGAGGAGGAGGAGGAGGAGGAGGGGGAGGGGGGAGGGGCGGCGACGGTGGGGAGGGAGGAGGGGGAGGGGGGAGGGGCGGCGACGGTGGGGAGGGGGGAGGGGCGGCGACGGTGGGGAGGGAGGAGGGGGAGGGGGGAGGGGGGAGGGGGCTGAAGGGGGAAGGGAGAGAGGAGCCGGAGGAGGAGGAGGAGGAGGAGGGGGAGGGGAGGAGGGGCGGCGACGGTGGGGAGGGAGGAGGGGGAGGGAGGGGAGAGGGGAGGGGACTGAAGGGAGAAGGCAGAGAGGAGGGGGGAGGGGACTGAAGGGGGAAGGGAGAGAGGAGGGGGAGGGGGATAGACTGAGATGGGAAAGAGGAGGGGGAGGAGGAGGAGGAGGGGGAGGGAGAGAAGGAGAGGGTGTGGGGGAGGAGGGGGGTGGGAAAATGGGGCTGGAAAGAGGAGGCTGGCATGGGGAAGACGCGAGCATTGGGGGAGGGGGAGGGGGGAGTTGGAGTGGGTGAGAACGGGAGGTAAGAGGGACGGGGGAGGGCCAGGGAGGGTAAAGGAGGGGGGAGAAGGGAAGGGGAAGAGTGGGGGGGGGATACAAGGGTGGAATGACATGGGTAAAGTGGGTGGAAGGGGGAGGGGAAGGGGAAGGAGAGGGGTAGGGGGAAGGGGAAGGGGAGGGGGTAGGGGGTATAGCGAGTGTATTAGAGTTGTGGTGAGTACAGTGCTTTGTGGTGAGAAAAGATATTGCTGCGATTATGCGACCGTCTATGTTGAATCGAGGTTATAATGGGAATGTTGTGACGAAGCTAAATTCCATGTGGTATGCTGAGGTTGTCGTGAATAAACTGAGGTTATGGCGAACATGCGGGAGGTAAATAGCGGAGCAGCGCATTTCCAACCTCCAGAATTAAAGGAAAAAGAAAACGAAAAAACTATGCCTTGTATTGACATCATTTTAGTGCTGCTTTTGCCATTTCCGATACCGCTGAACAAGCGGAAGTTGCTATTATGCTATTTCTGCTACAGTTGTTACATATCATTAACGTCATTAACGCCGATATTATACTTGCAATCAAAAACATTAATCATATTGCTACGAGAGGGAAAATTGCATAAACTCGTTTTAAAAAAACAATAAATCAAACATCATAAATTGGCCATCACTCAAACCTTAAATTCCAGATATTTCCCGCCATTTTTATGACTCGGTCTAAGATACGTGCAATTTGCATTTCAAATGAGCGGCGGATATGTATGCAACTCACCGTCCCGCCGATGCTTTAGCGAGATAATTATGGCTCGCCGAAGTCCTGTGATTCGACCCCAACGACAACTAGAATAAAAACGATGCCGTCGGCAACGTCTCTGATAGAATGGCAACAGTTGAGTCAGCAACAGTGACATCAATAACAACAGCAGAATCAAAAATATTAACATTAACAACAGCACCAATAACAACTGCAATGTCGTCAACAGCAGCAGCAACGGGAACAAAAATAACAAGAGCAACAACAAAGATATCAACTACAACAACAACATTAACATTGATAACAACATAAAAAACCTGCATTAGTACCTGTGAACATAAAACAACAACAATATCAACACTAAAACAAAACAAAAAAACAACAACAAACGATAATAACAACGATAAATAAATACTACATTTACAAAAACAAAAAACAGAACAAGAAAAAAAAACACTCAAACAATAACAAAAACACCTTTTTTTCGTTCGTACCTGATTGCAACACCGCTGCCGCTCCCATCCCATCATTAAAACACAACACTCCACATAATATCATTGCAATAATGCTAAAAGTATGCATCAACAATGTCATGATTACAAGCATCACTGTATTTACGAATCCGCCACATGCAAATGCACTCACGATGTTGCAGGAACCTCATCTCCCTCTTGTCCTACCTGAAAACGATAAGAAATAGGGTTAGTCGTTGATAAAAGGGAAATGAACGATACAATTCTAGGAATATATAGTCCTTTTCTTCATTTTGTAAAGAATATGATGTTTTTTTTTTGTTTTGGAAAATGTGTGAAAATAATTATTCATCCTGGAAAGGATGTGATTTTCCCATATCAAAAATAATATGGAATATTTTTTTTCCCCTTTATAAAGAATATAACAATATTTCTCATTATACGAAGAGTATAATAATATTTTTTTTTTTTTTTAACTACATAACGAATATAATAATTTGCCATTTTATAAGGAAAGCAGGGTTTTTAATTTCACACAGAAGAAAATACTTTTATTATCATAATTATTTTTTTATGAAGACTATAATAGTTTTTGGATTTTATAAAGAATACGATATTTCGTCTTTTGAAATCACAAGGACCATTGTAGGTTTTCAATCTATTAAGAAAATTAATTGAAAA